TTCAGGGGATGCACTAAGAAAGCGTCAGGGGTCGCTTTGATTTTGTACAGCATATTATGCTTTTCCAGCACGCGCTCAGCCTTGCTCCATCTCGTGAGGATGCCGCTCTCCTGGTCGGCCAGGGTGTCTTCCAGCTCTTGTTTCCAGTCCGACATCGAGATGACTCTGACAGCTCGCAAGCTTTCGCAACAGCAAACTCAGTTTGCACTTGGCCCCACAGGCGCCATGCAGCCGCAGGCGGGTAAGCGAAAGGAGAAGCTTAACTTGTTGCAGCTCTGGACCTCCATGTCTTTTTTTGGTTTAGGGTTTAGGGTCGATTTCGGATAGGCTTCTGGGCTTTTGCTTCTCTCATACGGCCACAGCCAATTCCTTGAAAGTCGGTTTGGGAAATAATATGAAACCCGCTGCTGCATCTCGTGCTTGGGAGCTTCAAAAACAAGCTGCGACGGCATGCCAAAAGTGGCCAACTTGATCCGCTGCTAACCAACTAGCAACTGACTAGCTAACCCCTTTATATCCACTTGCTAGTTCAACATAAAAACTAACTTGTGACTAGCTAACTGACTAGCTAATCCCTCTACTTTTTATAGTGCAACTAACAAATGATATTAATCAACTAGCTAATTCACTTAGTCATGTTAATTGGTTACAATGCCACTATGACAATTGCACCTAATTGTGACAGCTTACACCCAACTGACAACAACTTACACCGTGGTTACAATGGGGTATAGTGAACATACAACATAACTACTAAACTAGATATACCTTCTTAGTCTTTGGCAATCTCCCGGAACATCAAAGTATACAGATCCCCAATGCACGTTATAGTCCTTATCTTCGGGACTTCCGAAAACGGCGCCTAATTGTCAGAAACCCGCGCTGCGCGTGGTCTTGCAGGAGTATGGCTCGACATTTGAGTCCTCCCATGTCGCCCCAAAATAGTGTCCTCGTAGTAAAAGACACCAAAACCCATGTTCTTGAGCAACCTTTCTTATGTTCTCCGTGCATTCGCTGCACCACGTAAGGACCCCATAACATTGTAATTCCTAGGTACAGAGGATTTGCTGTGGTGCAAGATTTCCTGCATTCACAGTAGGATTACTATGCAAGCCCTGTCGTTCCCCAGATTGTCACCCTTAGCACTCAAATTCGCCTTGAAGAAAAGTGGTCTATATCTTTACCATGATTTCAGGCCTTTCACCCCCAGTGGCTTTGTACTGCACGAAGGCGCGTGCATGCAAGCACAGAAGTCATAATGCCCCTCTGCGTCGAGGATTCAGTGTTTGTGTGCATGTTAAGGCTTCGTTGGGAGGTTTAAGGTACCATGGGGGTTCACGCGGAAGTTTGAAGGAGGGGAAGACTGTCTCTCAGCTTGTCATTGGCATAATGTAGAATGCACATATGTATGTATGTATGTATGTATGTATGTATGTAAGTATGTAAGTATGTAAGTATGTATGTATGTATGTATGTATGTTTTTTCTTTTTTATCTGGACTGCTAATTGGAGATCCAGGGGTAACAGGTAATCATAAGTCTAAGTAGATGAGCTACCGTTCCCAAATTGGGCAAGGATCTGCTTACTTAACAGTCCTTCCTGGCAGCGATGAGAAACCCTTTTGAAATACCAGGCTTATGCCTTGGGGTCTAGGGTTTAGGGTTTGGGGATAATGGAAAATAAAACGGAAACTACTATAGTACATAGCCCCCTTTGGGAACTTCTGGTCCCGCTAGGGCCCCTGTACTCGGCGCCTCCGGCGGCGTACCAAGCAGCCGTGAGCATAGCTGTGAGCAGAGCTGAAGAATATTTAGGGTTATTTTGGCGTTATATACTGGGATAATGGAAATTTAAATGGAAACTACTATAGTATATATCCCCCTTATTAAGTCCTCATGAAAATATAGGATAGACTACATGGATGGTTATCAAATTCCGTTTTGCAGGCTCCCAAATCTAGTGTGCGGAATTTAGTGTAGCTTCAGAAGGGCCCCTTGCTTTTTCTGAGTGGAGGCAGTTGCCGGCACGAAGATTCATAAATAGTGCTTGAGAAGTACAACCCCAATATAACCCCAATATAACCCTAATATAACCCTAATATAACCCTAACAGTCATTGCACCCTGGAATTTATGCTGCATCTTGTAGGCCTGAAAGACGGACTTTCTCAGCACATCCCCACTTTACCGCCTCCAAAGCGGCATCATTGCTATGTGAATACGCGGGTTTCCCAAAATTAGGAGTACCTTTCTGGGGGTCCCCATAATAAGGCTTACAGTTTTTTGGGGTCTATATTTGGATACTCCTATTTAGGGAAACTACCATACCCCACCCCCAAAAATTGCACGCTGCAAACCTTACACGCCGCAACGCTGAAGTCGTCCCAAGCAACAGACTCTGCGAGTGGGACCCTAGGCATGGTGACTAGTGACACATGCGACGAGCAGAAATTCGAGAGTTTCTCAAAAATGGGCTTCTGGTGTGGAGTTTAGGGATTCAGGGTGGAGGGTTTAGTTGGTTAAGGTTACGGGCTTAGGAATTGAGAATTTGGACATGTAATTTTCAAGATGCTTCGTGGAGGTCTCAGGCATGCCACCATGGTCCTTTGTGGAGTCGCTACAATCACGGTTGCTTTTGGGGATGTACAAGGGTTCCCGATCGGTTCCGAACTTTGCGAAGCAAGCATGTCTGGAACAGGCTTGACTTTATGACCAAGGATCTACAGACATAGTTGAAGCGATGCTCAAAAAGATTTTTTTTGCGCCTTGTGACCTCACTTGAGGTCTTTGCAAGTTCTCCGCAACCGTCGTCTTGGCGGCGATCCCAATTGCTGGTTGCCAGATGTTGCTAGTAGCTCGCCAGATGAGGTGACCCACAGGGTTGCCTCACAGACATAGTGAGGGCGTCTGCTGATGTAGCATGTGACAGCCGCAGCCACCTTTCCTGGATTTCAAGGTGCCCGGTTTTCGTGCCTGCCGCTGGCCCGATCAACTATATATATCAACAACCGCAACGTGCCGGGCCTTCGTCTTGGCATGGGATGTTTGTGTCGTCAATAGCCTGCAAGGGGCAACGTCGTCTGCATGTGTCCTTGGCTGTGAGCCCTGCAAGAAGCGCGTCTAATGCAGTTGTATCTAGCTGAGCCACCTCTGAGACGCAAGGGTGGGGTTGTGGGTCCAGGAGCTGACCTGGCAAGTGACCGACAGCGAAGAGCGATGAAGTATGTATGTTACTGAGACATGTAAGTCAGTCTCTACATCTAATCTACGACAATCTACGTCAAGCTCAGTTTCAAGGAAGCATCTCGGCTCTGAGGAGGTTCCGCGTGGCGCGGCAAGTAGCCGGCGAGCTATGGGCCTAAACGCGGCCGAGAAAAGTTTCACAGGTTTCGATGCCCCAGACGGCGTTTTCGTTCCGCCTCCACCCGGGCTGGAGCACATAGCTCCAGGTGGGGTGCATGCAAACTGGGGCACCTTTGGTCATCCGGAGATGTGCTTCCGCCCATGCATTTTCATCTCAAAGGAAGGAGGCTGCCCTTCCGGGATCACATGCCGATGGTGTCACTTACCACACGGAGGTGCCACCAGCAAGCCCAGCAAAAGGCAGCGACAACTCTTGGGGCAGATGAATGACCAGGACAGATTGGGAAAAAGACCGGCACAACCTCAAATGTAGCTCGGATCTTCAGGATAGAGAGCCCCGCTTGCGAGTGGTTCCTTGAGCCCCAAGCCTACCTGCATTCCAGCTTAAACCTCTGGCGCGAACGCAAGAACCGTGATCTCCAAACCACCACCCTTCAAACCCCTCAGTCCTGTATTCCCTGCACACTAGAGAAACATATAGCCAGAATACCTCAATTCATTCACTCCCGTTTGTGGCTGGACGAACTCCTGCACCACCATTTGTACCTGAAGCTCTGGATCCTGAACCGCCGGAAGTCCTGCTAGCCTTACCCATTGAGGTTCAAAACCCCCAAACCTTACCAGCTAAAACCCAGAAAGCATAAAACCCTAAACCTTCAACAACCTGCGAAGGAGCGCCTCGCAACTTTTCTTCCGCTGTTCCGTAAGAGGGCTGCAGCTGCAGGCTTGCTGGCGAAGGCCTTGTTGTGGGGTTGAGGGTTTGCTTTAGGTTTATGACTTTCGGGTTAGATCTCATGTCAGTTTAAGTTTTGGTTTTAGGTTGGGTTTGGAGCCTGGGGGGCTTTCAGTTTGTGTTTGGGGGAATGGCGCCGAGGAATATTTGGTCAAGTGAGAAATGTCCCGGTCATGAACGCGGTATTCTCTCACATTCCTTGTACTTATTCTCATTTATGTCAAGTCCTAAAAACCCTATATAAATCTTGATATAACCCAATTACAATAGTTTCCATTTTCTTTTCCAATATCCCCAATATAGCCCCATAACCTTGAGCCCCAAGTCCTGTGTCTGATCTCCAGGCGGCACACGTGATAGACTTGCTGGAGGCGGAGGTGACCTCACCACAGATCAAGCCTCCTCCCTCCAAGATACTGG